GGCTTATGAAAGATGAAAAAGAAAAATGAATAATTCCACGTAACGCGGCATTGTCATGAATTGGCCCACCAATAAGTTGACAAATTCGTGTTCAGTGCTCGTTAGAATGTGACTATAATCAAAATGACAGGACGCGACAGCTGCTCACGCACGAGCCGCCTTGCTCTAGCTAATTCTTTTTCCCCAAAGCAGGAAATTGATTTCGATATCGACGAGCGCCAGCTGTCGCGGGCGCGATGGCAGATAGGATAATTCGCACGGTTGGATGAACGCAATGTGAATCGATATTGCGGCCGTTGCGTCACCGATCTGGAATTTTCACGGTCCTCTCTGAAATTTTGATGAGACTTCCTTGCACAAAAATAATTTCATACAGAAAGTAATTTTAAAGCAAATTCAAGACAAGCAATAATAAAATAAATTTTGAAAAAGAGACTAATCTATATAGCATCTAAAAGTGATCACAATTTAACGTTGATTTAGAGCCAGAATCAACGGTTATTCCACTTTGAAATGTAAGTCCAACAAACATGATATCATCGAATCAAGTAAAATTTTAATAATGGTAGGTAGCATTAATGATACCTCTAATGTTAATAATGCGTAATTAATACGTCATTTGATGTCATCCTGTTTGAAAGTATTTTAAATCGTGCTGTTACGGAGATATATGATGTTATCTTTAGTAAAGGAAAAGATAATTAAAAGATAATGACAAAAATCTCTATTTTTTGTATCTTAAGTATTCAAAATAATGTATGCAAAGTTCATTTCATTTCATTTTATTGCAGTTCAGAAATAAAAGTTTGAGAGACGAATTAATATGAAATGAAGAAAATGAACTATAAAATATGATGTTAAAATAAAAATATATTGTTATTTAACTGAATCATATGTATATTTTTTCATATAAAAAAATAACAGTATTAGCGTATTTTCAATTTTCAATTATTTTTTGTAGAAACTATACGGGCAATGTATCCTTAAGGACACGAGAAAAGATTTCTTTTTTTTTTAACGCAGCGATAAGTTGGTGGGTAGTTTGATGTCTTATACCCAAGAAAATTGGGAAAAACGAGAAACACATCAAAGCGCGATCTGCCCGGCGAATCTACCAAGTTTAATCGAAATCACGGCCGTGAGAATTTGCGAACGTTGTGAAAGCGGGAGAGAGGTTGAACGAGACACATCGGTCGCGAGCAACCGCCGAGATAGTTGGCGCACTAGGACTTAATGCATTTCTAATGTTTCCCATGTTCGTGAGGGAATAAAAGTCCCAGCACTTCGTCGGCACTTCAAAACCCGGCCCATTTTATTCGCGGGAGACGAGCGTATGCTCATCCGCGAACGTTAACGTTTTACGAGGGCGATTAAAAATTTAGCCGTCGTTCGTCAGCGCGAAATTAACTCACTTTCGTCCCTCGGAAATGCGAAATGCGCTTAGTCGATGTAACGTTAATGGCGCCAGCCATAAACTGTACACTTCCATGCGAAACTGCTGCGAATTGCTGCATATCGTTGCACGACATTGAAGGATAAATGTCGGGAGCACGCGGGTAACTCGATTCTCTGAGTCGGCTGTCAACCAACTGAAAACGTCGGAAACTACGCATTCCGTTTAAATGTACGTACAATAATATTATTTGGCCAACGAGACGGGGAGAGAGAGAGAGAGAGAGAGAGAGAGAGAGAGAGAGAGAGAGAGAGAGAGAGAGAGAGAGAGAGAGGGAGAGAGAGTATTATGCACCAAGGGTCTTCCTCTGTCTGTTGCTTTTGCCATGAATACATTCACGACGTACAGGGAACATCCTGAAAAGATGTAGACAGGAATATTTTCCCGCTTGGTAATACCTTTTCAGGCGAAAATTCTTTATACGGAAAGAATATTATAGGAAATATTACAATATAATTTTCTAATTTTGGACATACAGAAATTATGATCGAAATTATTCTATATTTATATGAAAATGTTATGCAAATTTATTATATTTATTGTAATTTATGCTATAATATCAGAGAGAGAGAGAGAGAGAGAGAGAGAGAGAGAGAGAGAGAGAGAGAGAGA